ACACCCAACACATGTATTCCCCGACACACCTTGCAGCCTAATGCTGCTCAGCACCTAGTACATGTGTCCCCCGACACCGCGTGTCTTCAAAACTTTTGCATAGACGTCATCGATTTTGTGACGAACATTAACCCAACCCTTCAGTATCCTCCTCGACCACTAATTTCTGGCCAACATTATGAAATAACACAGCGACTTAATAACAATATCAACATAATCCCCAGTTTACAGCCAACCGCTCGGAACAACACAACGAATTAACGACCATATCAACAGGTGATAATCTACACTAACCTATTCATCAATTACACCGAGCAGTACGCAGACAATTCATAAACGCCCACAACATGAAAAACGACCAAGTTCAAGAAACAAATCCAGAATCATACGCACGACATACATATATACAACCAATCCCCACATAACATTCATCATAAGCCCCATTATATAGTCAGAACCCCACCCTTACCTGGATTGAAGGTTGCTCTACAAATCTCCGACTGTAATCCTTGTCTTGCCTTGCTCGACCACCGTGCAACCTTGCTCCTCTTCTGCACAGTTTTTTCACGGTTAGCACACCAAGACTTCTATTCTCCAACTAACCAAAATCTTATGTCAGCTTAACCTTATACCATTAATCCTATTGGGCTTAACTTACACACTCCCACTTTACTACTTCCAACCAATGAAATAGGCCCAACACAAATATTCTATTATTCTACTAATTTTAACATTATTATTATTAAGCAACTAATTAATTAACTAATAATAATTTAGCAACTTATGCCAACAATTCACAACATCTCAAAACTTCAACGAATAATTCGAAAATAATTAATTAAATAACAGGCGTTACATAATCCACTGCTCCGCGCCAGTCAGATATCTAGGATCTGTTACTCCACACCGACCAAATGTCCAATAATAAAAGGCCCATTACTTAGCTTACTTAGCCAGGACAAGGTATAAATACTTTCATAAAGGATTCTAAGATACATGATATCTAACCTCCACTTTCGCTATGATCTATTTTGAACCTTAACTGACTTGGACATTGGAGTGATAATTATGCAGGTACCCCCTATTCAATCCACCGCATTGGAAATAGCAACACCGGTTAACAACACCACATAAGACCGATACCTCATATTCAAGAATCATTATGGTCACAACATTCAATCCATAGTGTCACGTTGATGTAGTTCATCAGAAGCTCTATTCCGCTGCAGTTTCCTCGATCAACACCATTTTTGGTTCCACAATATAGCCACATATGTGATCTCTAACTCATGAATCAATAATCTAAGAGCCGAGTGTATAATTATGTAAAGAGAAATGAGTATTGTTATACTTACCTATTGATGAATGATCAACAATTGTGATGGAGCCAACCTCATTTAAAGAAGAATTATTTGCAACTTGGCCATGGATAGACTTCTAACGTTGAATTAGTAGAGGTCTAAATTGATCATGAGTCATAGATAAGGAACCGACCTTTATGTCATTATCAACAGATGTAGATCCAATATCACTCCCGTTAGAAGAAACATTGTTATCTATAATTGAAAACTTTCTTTACACATGAGGAGGAAAATCATGCTTTTTAAAAAAATTATTCACTGTATGATATATTTTGCCATAAAAAGTACCGACACGAGCATCATGTTTAGCATACGAAAAGGTAAATTTGGATTCAAAGGGTTTAGAATCAACCACATTAATCAGTGTGTTAGATTCATCAATAGGGGGGTGGAATTAGCTTTGTATTTCATGTTGAATAACCATGAAAAATATACTGTTAATTGGAGGTAAAAGATCCATTGAGAGGATCTTAGACTTAACAACAACAATTATTATTTAAACTGATTAAGAATCGAATTATGTGCAACAATTTGTGATTAAATATAACACTACACATAGCTTCACATTAGTATTTAACTCGACAAGTACACATAGGTAAAAGCAAGTACTTATCTAATTCTTCCCAAAAGATTTTCAATTCAGAGAAAATTCAGGTACTGATTTTGCATCTTGCTTAAGATTTAAATCTCTTGTTGAAGCTTAGAAATGCATATAAGATCTCCTTGTGAGAATCATTATTTAAGGTAGTACAAAAAATCAATGGCATTCTCTATGAAGACGATGAACTGAGCAATTGATTTAGAAACATGATTCATAATCCAAGAATGAACTACACATATTACATTGATTCCAAGCTCCATAACAAGGATTGAAGGAAACAGTTGGAACAAAGGTGCTTCAATCGATGAACTCTAACTTCATCTTTCCACCATGAGTTTTTCTCGTGGATTGAGCCCAAAAGTGATAACTTAAACGAGTTAGTTTCGAAGAAATTGAAATGCTTATAAAAATGGTTTTAAAAAGTCTAATATGTTTTTTTGTTAAGAAATTAAAAAAAAATGTAATAGGTTTGATTCACCATGACAAGTGATTCTAGTTACTAAGAGTTTGATACGGTTCAGAATTAAGAACCGATATACTGAATCAATTGTTTGATTCAATTCAGTTCTTAACAAATTTAAATGGTTCGGTTTAATTATTTACCATTTTTTGTTATAGTTCAGTTTAGTTTAGTTCTCTTAATAAACTATACCATGAACAGCCTGTCGCATGTAATGATCAAGATCGTTCAAATTTGTGATATTTTGAAAGTGACTAGCCATAACATTGACACAAGATATTGTTGCCTAAATGTTAGAAAACTTTAGAACATGCAAACAACACCAGCCTTGTGACTTTGACATAAATTATAATTCCAGACAGTTTTTACCAGTACCAAGTGGAAAATATGGTCCCTTTTTGTGATGAATGGGAATGTTACCTTTTAAAAAACCAACAATGAGTAACATGAGAGAATCTGAAGAATTCTATTTCGACAAAAGTCTATTATACAACTTTTATAGAAATGTTATCCGCTCTAAATCTTAAGTCATCACAGTTTTGTTTTCTTTTAAAAATCGATCAGTTAGAGTGAATGTTCTCAAACAGCATATAACTTCTGGTATACTAGAATGATAGCTCCTCCCTGTTGAGCACACGATTTAGGAGTATTGTTATGCGTGTGATGCAAATTAACATTACTAAGAGAGTGATCGGTTTGCAGGTAAAGAAGCAACAACAATTCGGCATTTGTAATTAATAGAAATGCTGCTTTTTTTTCTTTATTAAAAACGACATTCATTCATTCAAATTGATATAATATATCGAATAATACAAATTCAAAATTACTATAAACTGAAAAAAATAAATCTGCGAACAAACTCACAACAACTATGTTAATAGCATATAACTGTAAAATGCCTACAAATCTGACAAAGCCTACAAATATGACAAAATTGAAATGCTCGGATACCTATGTCTCCGAGTCTGCAGTGTTGAGGACGTCAAACTCATTGATTGAATATGTACTGAGTCGAAACTAATCTGTCAATCTGAACCGAACAAACACCGCACTAAAGACGGAAAAACAAATAATACCGCAATAAAACGACGATTAACACAACTTTACAATAAGACGAAGAAATCACAAAGGAAAAAACTAAAAATAAATGTGAAATCAGTTATTTGAATGAAAAAGGAAGGGAAAAGAATGCAGAGGGGAGTGATTTTGAATCAAAAATTGACCCTAAAACCACTCCTCTTTAGAAAATGAAGAACAAGAAGAAAAAAACTAGAATTTAGGATTGAAGAAAGATAAAAAGCGTGTTTTTATATTATATTTAATTCTAATAGGAATGTTACCTTTTAAAACAATCAACAATGAATAACATATAGCATATTCTAAACAATTCTAACTTGCCATATGCTGTTGAACACTACATGGTGAAACTTTCCAACTAAGACAAGATTGTGAGATTTATCAATTAGAGAAATAGGGATATTAATCATTCAAAATGGTGCTTCATTTTCTGAACATTTAACCTACATCAATAATTACAAAAGATTCAGGCCACAGATCTAGAAGGGGGGTGTTAAAGTAACATTTTCTGTGAACTCGTTATACTGATTGGATACTCATCATACCAGAGCTAAAAAGTCAGTCCTAGATGCAAAGTTTTCAACAGGCTAACCAATATAGTCCTAAAATGACAAAATCTGGAAAGTGACAGATAAAGTAATTAGTTTTTTCAATACAAGAAACCTAATTTTAAATTAATAGATCTGATTTCAGTAAAAATATCACAATAGATACTAATTTAAATCTATGTAGCACGGCACTTCACATTGAAAGCGTGTCTGACACCAACACATGTGATTACCCTGACACGCATCCGTGTCAATGTCATGTTTGATGTCCATGCTCTACATGTCTAAATTCTAGAATGCCACTATGTCGTTCTTATAGCGCAGCTTAACTTTTACCAAGGATTAATTGAAATCTTCAACTTTAATTCAGGTTCCTACTTAAGGAACGTAACTTGGTTGAATATTTCAAACCGCATAGGTGATTGAGTTCTTAAATATGTGAATAATGTTCATCCAGTGCTGGAAACATCAGATTAAATAAAGACAAGATTCCACAAAGAACTTAATCACCACAAAGTAGATAATGGCAAAGACCTATGAAGGATTTTGAACCCTTTACAAGCACAACTGTGGCAACATCAGCAGCAACTTTGTACATTTCTTTTGCCAAAATTGATACCATTAAATATTTCTAGACTTAGCTCTAACTTTCTGACAAAATGAAACCGCAGCCACAAATATCTAGTATCAAAGAAAGTGAAAGTTCCAGAGTCATAAATATATTTACTTAGAAAGACCAAATAAGATATATTCATAGATACACTAGTCATATAATGTGATATAATACAATAAATCGAAAGCATATAAAATCCTAAATGTAATCTTATCTTATTAGCTACATAGGAAATAGGAAAGTGCATAAACAAAAGTGATTAAATTAGGGAAAAGAAAGGAAAGAAAAAAGGGACTTTCCTTGATCTATTTTCCATTAAAAATCATGAAATCTGAAACTCTCAAGAACCTCTTGCACATGCAGTAATAACTTCACAACCTCTATTATAAGGATTAGCTTGTCTTGGATGACAGTTATAATAGGAAGCACCAGCTCTATCACAAGGAACCTTATCTCTCTTCAAAGTATCATAGCTTATGTACTTTTTCTGCATTGCCAAAACTCTTCTATTTGTCTCTGAATCCATTAGCTCTGTCTCAGTTAAACAGTCTCCAATGGTTTTGGTGGTAGCCCTGTTTGTGATTACTGCATCTGTTTCAGAGTGCTTCAACAAAGTTGTTGATAACAAGGAAGTGCAGATTTGGAGATGGGTGTGAAAGAGGAGGAGTGTGAGAGAGAGGATGATTGTGGAAATGAATCTGGGTTGGGACATTGTTGTTTGTGTTTGGAGGTTTGTTGTTTTTGGGTTTGTGAAAGAGATTGCTTGGTTGTTGAAGGGTCTTTAATTGGATAGGACAATGGTAGGGTATAGTATAGATACAAGGCCCAAGGGTACTCACAACTAGTCAACTATACAGTACTAATGTATTTATATTCAAATCTAAATCATCTTTTTTTTTATAGATTAAATCTAAAATTTATTTGTCCTAAAATAAACACAATCTATCTTAAATGCTTATGAAAGATGCAAAAGGAGATGCAATTATGAAAGATGCAAAAGTGAGAAACATGCTCACATCACAATAGAATGGCAATAACCAAAATGCATAACAACAATACATTTCATTCCATTTGATCTTCTACACTTCACATTACACCAAGAAAAAACCACTCAGTTATTCGTAGAGAAGTTTACATTAACCACATCTCAGTTAAACTAAAATCTTTCAAATCACAAATATCAATGTTACTGCAAAGTAGTTTATAACTTTGTCTACATTAGTCTTCATCTACAAGGTACTGTGACCAAAACACACAATTCAAACCGTCTGAAGTCGAGAACTCTTGGTTGTTATTAGGACTATGAGACTTTTGCGAGGAAGCTAAATTTGTAACTTCATCATCCAAATTCTTGTATGAAAATGCTCCTCCGCCATCAGATTCTTTATCATTGGCATGAAGTCTTGATTTTACAAAATTACCGATTTCTTAACGGTCTATTTCTAGTGATGATGACTTATCTGTTGGGGGAATTAGTGATGACTTATCTGTTGGGAGAATTAGAGGTACTTTTAGTGATGAGAGGAAGAAGAAATAATAAAAGAAATAAGAATTTGTATTATTGAATTGTTCAAATACAGATTATAACTATTTATTTACAATTCTAATTGATATTGGTCTACACAACTTAGATTATATTTAAATATTAAATTTAATCAAATCTAATTTAATCTAATATTTTAATAAATCTAAAATACTATTTCAACACTATATTGTGTTGGAGAAGATGCAATTTAAAAGACAACATGTTTGATCACGGTCACTTTCTTCACTTTTTTGTTTCGAGGAGAGTCTTTTTTCACCTTTTGATAAAGCATGAATCCATATCAAAAGTAAAATACGCTAGGATATCCGTAAGCTTTAATGTATCAGACAAAAAATTTAAAAGAATCTTCATAGATACAAACTAAAGCATGTTTATATATGTCTCGTTAATAGATGTACAGGAACATCAGAAAACATGTTTATAAACGACAAAATACACAATTTTGTACCAGAGATAGAATTGTCTGAAGGTGAGTAAGAGAGAAAACTTCCCTCTTAGCTAGAAACAAATCTGAGAGTTGCTATCAAATTCTCGAACCCAATTTTCTCATAAATTTGCTCAACAGATTTAGGATACCGAAGAGCCCATAGAAACAAGTTCAGCAGGTTTTTCTGCCTCTGCTCCAATCCATCTAATCTTTGCTCTAGATTTCCCATATGAAACTTTCTAGTTGACATGTGTTGCTTGAAACTGTTGGAGCACAAGGAAGATAAAAGACAAAAGGAATATTTACTGATAGCTTCAAAAAAAGAATTTACGATGAATTACAATAACCTACTCTACTAGGCTATTTATACACACAAATTAAATCTAAAATATATCTTCTACAAAGATATAAGAAGATCTAAGATTTATATCTTCTAACAAAGATATAAACAATCTAAAAGATATTCCTAAATATAAATTAATATCTAATTAAATCTAAATTAATTCTAACATCATCCCTTAATTTATATTTACCAAAAACTGACAACACCAATTTCATCCCTTAAACCAAGAAATTGATCAGTTTTGATAGCCTTTGTCAGAACATCTGCCAGCTGCTTCTGAGTGCTACAGTGCACAACCTCTATTATTCCATTCTGAACTTGATTCCTCAGAAAATGACACTTGGTCTCAATATGCTTGCTTCTCCCATGCAACACTGGATTCTTGGCAAGATTGATTGCAGACTTATTATCAATCATCAGCTTCAGAGGTTTATTCACCTCAATCTTTAGATCTTTCAGCAAATTCAGAATCCACACAGCTTGACATGCAGTCAGAGCACCTGCAATATATTCAGCTTCACAGGTTGACAGAGCAACGACGGGTTGCCTCTTAGAACACCAAGAAATAGGACCTCCCAGAAATTTGAATAAGTACCCAAAAGTACTTCTTCTGTCAACTCTATCTCCACACCAATCAGAATCAGAATAACTCAGAAGTTCTGATTCGATCTTTTTTCCAGACGGAAATAACACTCCATATTTCAGAGTTCCCTTCACATACCTCAGTATCCTGACTGCAGCTTGGTAATGGAACCACTTTGGTTTGCTCATAAATCTGCTAACCATTCCAACTGCATAGTAAATATCAGGTCTGGTATTACACAAATACCTTAGAGAACCAACCATCTGTTTGAAGGTTGTAGCATCCATATCCTCTCCATCAGAATCAGAATCTAACTTCTGATTCGTATCAGCAGGTATGATAGCAACCTTGCAATTTTCTAGCTCAAATATCTTCAGAAGCTCTAGTTCATACTTCATCTGATGTAAAATGATTCCTTTCTCAGAGTATATAAATTCCATCCCTAGAAAGAAACTCATTTTTCCAAGATCTGTCATCTCAAACGCATTCATCATAACTTTCTTGAACTCAGCTATCTCTTGTTCAGAACTTCCTGTGAGTAATATGTCATCAACATACAAACAGACCAGAATCATATTACCTTCTGAAGTGTGCTGAACATAAACACCATACTCCATCTCACACTTCTGAAACCCTTGTTCCTTGAAAAACGAATCAATTTTCAAGTTCCAAGCTCTGGGTGCTTGCTTCAATCCATACAATGCTTTATGTAATTTTAACACCATCCCTTCCTGATTCTTTTTCTCAAATCTAGGAGGTTGTGAAACGTACACCTCTTCTTGTAATGGGCCATTTAGAAACGCAGATTTTACATCTAAATGCATTAGAGGCCAATTCCTGTTAGCAGCTATTGCAATCACTAGTCTGATTGTTTCATGTCTCGCTACAGGTGCAAACACTTCAAAGTAATCCAACTCAGGCTTCTGTAGGAAGCCTCTTGCTACTAATCTCGCTTTGTGTTTGCCAATTGATCATCTGGCTTTAGTTTCTGCTTGAAAACCCATCTGACGCTGATGGCTTTCTTGCCTTTTGGAAGTTTTGTCAGCTTCCAAGTCTTGTTTCTATCTATAGCATCAAGTTTTCTTTCATGGCTTGTAACCAAACTTGCTGCTTAAGAGTCTCTTCCGTACTCAAGGGTTCAGAGTCTACTAATATTTCACACTGAATAACTTCTCCTTCAGAGTTTACTTCAGTGTCTAGCAACATGTCAAACTCTGCAAATCTTCTTCGGATACTTCTGACTCTTTGTTGCCTCTGAACTGGATCTTCAGAACTTTGGACACCATAACTTTCCCCTTCAAAAGCACTTGCTTCAGAAATTGGTCTTTCTCCAGAACCTTGACTGTCTTCAGAGTCTGGATCACCATCGGAGTTAGAGTCAGAATCATCTTCTCCTTCTGTATCTTTTCATAGTCAGAGTCTTTACTAGCTTCAAAAACATGTATTTCTGACCTTTCTTCAAAAGTTCTGTCATCAGAGTCAGGACGAGACTTTTCCCAATTCCAAACTTCTGATTCCTCTACAATGACGTCTCTGCTGAACTCAAATTTGTTAGTTTCTGGACAATAAAGTTTGTACGAACCTGTACTGTGATACCCCACCAGCAACATCACTTTACTTCTATCATCCAGCTTCTGTCTTCTGGCTTCTGGGACATGCTTGTAACATACAGAACCAAATACCTTCAGATGACTAACGCTTTGCTTATCTCCAGTCCAATTCTGAATATGAACTATTTCCTTTAATTTCTTTGTTGGACATCTGTTGAGCACATAACATGCAGTTGCAACAGCTTCTCCCCACAGAGTATGAGGAAGCTTCTTCTCTTTTAGCATGCTTCTCACCATATCTAGCAAAGTATGATTTCTTCTTTCAGCAATACCATTATGTTGAGGAGTATATGGAGCAGTAACCTCATGCTCAATTTCATTCTCCTCATAGAAACTTCTGAATTCTGTGGTTATACTCATCACCACCATCAGTTCTAAGAATTTCCAGAGTCTGGCCACTCTGATTCTCAGCTTTCAGTCTGAACTTTTTGAATTCAGCAAACACCTCATGTTTGAACTTTATGAGAGATACCCATGTCATTCTGGTGAACTCATCAACAAATGACATAAAATATTTATTCCCTCCAGTCGATGCTACTGGAAACGGACCACACACATCAGAATGTACTACTCCCAAGGCATGTTTTGCTCTTGGAGCTACTTCTGATGCAAAGGGTAATCTTGATTGCTTACCTTCCATGCACACCTTGCATGACTTTCCAGGCTTCTTGATTGTAGGAATTCCATGTACCAGATTCTTTGATTTCAGATGCCTTAAACTTTTGAAATTCAGATGACCAAATCTTCTGTATCCCACACTCATCAGATTGCTTTTCATGCCAGGCACATACCAAACATTCTGGATCACAACTGCTTTCCCATTGTTTAGAATGATTTTGACATTTCCCATACCTTCTGCATTGAGGTATTTGTCATCAGCACATCTGATCTTTGTACTCTTCCCAGAGTCAAAGTCAACCAACCACTTCTTGTTTCCAGTAAGATGGTTTGAACACCATGTGTCCATATACCACCATTCTGATGAATTCAGATCATCAGGTTCAGAAGCCAACAATACCACATGTTCATCATCAGAGTCTCCTCTTGCTATATTTGCTTCTTCTGACTTCCTTTCTTTGTTGGACCAGCAATCTCTAGCATAGTGTCCAAAGTTCTTACAACAGTAACACTGAATATTCTTCTTGTCAGACTTCTCCTTTCCCTTCTGGACATTCTTCTGCCTATCAGAGTTTGAAGCTTCTA